ATCTTTAGCCTACGATGTAGAGAGAAAAAAAGTGACCTGAGGCGGGATAAAAAGAGACCATAGGCGTTGCGTGTGGATGAGCCAAGTACGAAGAACAAAGACCTCCCCGCAAATACTGTACAAAATACAAAACGGATCACACACGCCGTCTACGAAAAGACGATTGCCTTACGTTGGTGAAAGAATAGATAGGCTGCAAGGATTTCGCAGTGAGACTGAATGTACATGTCCAATGCGCGGACGGGCGACAGAATAGATGGGACGACATGTACCATTGGGGGCCCGTATTACCAATATCATTGGGAGTCGAGCGGTGGCACTGGAAATGGAGGTGAATCCGATACAGTACAGATGCCAGTCGTCGCAGGAGAGTGGAATATCCTATGAGATGTCCGATCCATATGCGGACGGATTTGGGTCAAAAAAGGCCTCTATGTCCCATCATAATGCTGACGTTTAGGTTCGCCACGGTGGGATAAATTGAAGCAGACCCGCCTGTTCGACTTCATAGGTCACTTGGAATCTTTTTTCTGCTCACTCGTGAATTTGAAACAGCACACGCGAAGAAAAAATACGGGGTATAATCAACACACAAAGGTCGGGAGGAACGCTCAGTGCCGCTGGTGCGCGTCTGCCATTCATTAAAAGGAGCTACTGATGCTTAAGCAGAGATCCCCCGTTCGATTCGGGGCTGGGCCATTGATGTTTCTTGAGAAACTTTTTCTGCGAGATGAGATAAGTTGTTTTGGATCAATCAGCAGGAGACTGATTCAACAGCGCTGAGGATCATACGAGGAGGGTGCACTGAGAATGAGGCCGGAATATCCAGCATCGAATGCCCTGCGGAAAGGCTCGTAATTGCCCAAAGAAAGACCAGGATGAGGAAGCAGCGATGCATAATATCGAAGATATTTTTTTCTCTGGTCACCCGTGAGTCTGAAACAGCAAGCACACGCGAAGAAAAAATACGGGGTATAATCAACGCAAAAAAGATGGCCAACAAGGCTCGGTGACGCTCGGAGCGCATCTGCATATCGTTATTAATTACTGATCGGATAAATTGAAGCAGACCCGCCTGTTCGACTCAGGCCCGAGCCGTTGGATCTCTACGAGGACGTTCTTTTTCTGGTCGCTCGTGATTTTGAAAAAAAATATGGGGTATAATGAACGTACCACGTACCAGAGAAAGGCTCGGTAGCGCTCGGAGCGCATCTGCACATCGTTATTCATCACCGGTCGTCTACATTGAAGCAGACCCGCTTGTTCGACTCAGGCCCGAGCCGTTGGACTTGTGCGACTAATTTCTTTTTCTGGGCATCCGTGAGTTCTCACACAGATGAAAATATGGGGTATAATCAACGGACAAAGGTAGGGAGGAAAGGCTCGTTAGCGCTGGTGCGCGGCTGCAATTCATTGAAAAATCACGCTAGAGTTTAAGCAGATATCCCCCGTTCGATTCGGGGCTGGGCCATGAGGAATCCGCAATCCCATTTTTTTTCCTTCCTTCCTTTCTTTGTTTGATGTGCAAGTTGGGCAGACTGTGCACGAGCCGACTGGCTTGAGGTTTACATTGACATTTTGGTGGATAGCTCGGGGGAAAGAAGAAAAATCTTGGTTGAAAAATCACATAAAAGTAGCGGGGATATTGCACATACCAAGCCCTGAAGAAAGGCTCGGTAGCGCTCGGAGCGCATCTACATATCGTTGCTCATCACCGATAGGATACATTGAAGCAGACCCGCCTGTTCGACTCAGGCCCGAGCCGTTGGTCTTGGGCAAGGCATTTTTTGTTCTGGGCATCCGTGAGTTTGAAAAAAATATGGGGTATGATCAACATCCCAAGCCCAGAAGAAAGGCTCGGTAGCGCTCGGAGCGCATCTGCAAAGATTTATAAGATTGTCTACATTGAAGCAGGCACGCCTGTTCGACTCAGGCCCGAACCATACGTCCATCGAAGATGTTTTTTCTCTGGTCACTCATGATTTTGAAAAAAATATGGGGTATAATGAACGCAACAAGGGAGTGAAGAAAGGCACGGTAGCGCTGGTGTGCGTCTGCCATTCATGAATGAGCTATCGATGCTTAAGCAGATATCCCCCGTTCGATCCGGGGCCGGGCCATCATCGAAAGACGGTGATTTTTTTCTTGGCGTGCAGCTGTCCAAAAGGCCGCGTGGTCTGTTAAGGTTGAATGAATTCCTGAGCACTGGGTAGACAGACTCTGGGTTGAGAGGATCAAGGATCAAGGAAGAAATTTCTTATGAAAAGGAGCGAGGATATTTGACTTAGCACGCACCAGAGAAAGGTTCGGTAGCGCTCGGAGCGCATCTGCACATCGTCGTTTAAGTGTTCGCCACGGTGGGATAAATTGAAGCAGACTTTGCCTGTTCGACTCAGGCCAGAGCCATGGGTCTGTTACAATCCTTTTTTCTGGTCACTCGTGAATTTGAAACAGCACACGCAAAGAAAAAATACGGGGTATAATCAACATACAAAGGTCGGGAGGAAGGCTCGGTAGCACTGGTGCGCGTCTGCAACTAATCAGCGTGCCTGCTCCAGCTTAAGCAGATATTCCCCGTTCGATTCGGGACCGAGCCGTAGATCGATTTGACAGAACTTTTTTATCTGGTCATCCGTGAGTTTGAAAGAATTGTGGGGTATAATCAACGCACGAAGGTAGGGAGGAAAGGCTCGGTAGCGCGTGTGCGCGGCTGCGATTCATTGAGAGCTGGCGCTGGAGTTTAAGCAGATATTCCCCGTTCGATTCGGGGCTGGGCCATGAGAGGTCTGCAGCTCATTTTTTCTCCCTTCCTTTCTTTGTTTGATGTGCAAGTTGGGCAGACTGTGCACGAGCCGACTGGCTTGAGCTTGACATTGATTGTTTTTTGGTGGATAGTTCGGGGTAAAGAAGAAAAATCTTGGTTGAAAAATCATATAAAAGTAGCGGGGATATTGCACATACCAAGCCCTAAAGAAAGGCTCGGTAGCGCGTGGTGCGCCCCTGTACAATCTTACCGAATTGTAATTTCGCAGCAGATGTACCCTGTTCGATCCGGGGCCGGGCCGTGCAGCGTGTAGCTATGTTTTTCCCCCACCCTTCTCGAATTAATTTAATTATCCTGAGACCCGGTTCCCGGGAAATATCTAGACGATCCCAGACAATCCAGACACGTGGAGATTTGGAAGGCCTGTCGTGTTACAACACACCGGCGAATGTCAACCAATAGAAGGCTAACTGAACTGTGGAATGTTCGAAGAAATCGAGTATAAGCAATGTACTACGTACCTGGGAAAGGCTCGGTAGCGCTGGTGCGCCTCTGTACAACCTAAGTGCTGGTAAGTTGCCAAGCAGATGTACCCCGTTCGATTCGGGGCCGAGCCGTGCACACGTCTAAATCGTTTTTTTTTTCTCCGTCGATTTAATTATCTTGAAATCCAGTCACTATTCAGAGAAACAGGGTACATCTACTGTTGTAAAGGACCACTCTTAGAGTAATCAGAGATTCGGGACTCTGGCATGAACCAATAAATCAGTGAATGTCAAGATCTCAACGCGGAACAAAGCTCACTGAGAGATGGTGGGTAGGTATAGCCAACATCCCGAGCCCAGAAGAAAGGCTCGGTAGCGCTTGGGGCGCGTCTGAATACCATGTGTGCATGGTGTCACAACTTCACATCAGAAATGCCTGTTCGACTCAGGCCCGAGCCGATGGACTTGTAGGAGGATTTTCTTTCTCTGGTCACCCGTCAGTTAATATAGCACACGCGAAGAAAAAATACGGGTATGTCCAACATCTTAAGACCTGAAGAAAGGCTCGGTAGCGCTCGGAGCGCATCTGCATATCGTTGGTGATTGCCGAAGGGATAAACTGAAGTAGATTGCCTGTTCGACTCAGGCCCGAGCCATAGACCCTGAACTAGTTCATTTTTTGGTCACTCATGATTTTGAAAAAAAATGGGGTATAATCAACGCACGAAGGTAGGGAGGAAAGGCACGGTAGCGCGTGGTGCGCGGCTGCAATTCATTAAAAGGAGCTACTGATGCTTAAGCAGATATTCCCCGTTCGATTCGGGGCTGGGCCGTAGTATTTGAGGAACGCACTTTTTTTTCTTTCTATTTTCTTCTTCTACTTGGTCGCTCTGTTCTGAGATCTAGTTCCCGTCGCGGATCGCCAGCCTGCTCTTCTGCTCTAATTTCCAAGGTGATAGATGCATTGAATTCACAGAGAGATCATTACGGAGAGCAAGACCAGGATGGCTCCCGGGAAAATTGATTTAAGAGCGGAGATCGACGAATGTAAACCGAGACCAAGGTCACTGAAAAATGGTGGGTATAGCCAACGTACATAGGTAGAGAGGAAAGGCTTGGTGGCGCTGGTGCGCGTTTGAATATCATATGCATCAGAATTCGCCTGTTCGACTCAGGCCCGAGCCATAAGTCGATTGCAGTTCTTTTTTCTGGTCACTCGTGAGTTTGAAACAGCAGATACAGAGGAAGAAATATGGGTATAATCAATGTACCACACTCCAGAGAAAGGCTCGGTGGCGCTGGTGCGCATCTGCATATCGTCGTCCAGGTTGATAGACTGAAGCAGACCCGCCTGTTCGACTCAGGCCCGAGCCATAACATTGACCTGGAGTAGTTCATTTTTGTCTGGTCACTGTGAATTTGAAACAGCAGATACAGAGGAAGAAATATCAGTATAACCAACGCACGAAGGTAGGGAGGAAAGGCTCGGTAGCGCTCGGAGCGCATCTGCAATTTATCAGTCTGCTTGCTACAGTTTAAACAGATATCCCTCGTTCGATTCGGGGCCGGGCCCATCATCAAAAGATGGCAATTTTTTTTTGGCGTGCAACTGTCCAAAAGGCCGCTTGGTTTGTTAAGGTTGAATGCTGAGCACTGGGTAGACAGACTCTGGGTTGAGAGGATCAAGGATCAAGGACGAAATTGCTTTTGAAAAGGAGCGAGGATATTTGACTTACCACGCACCTAGGGAAGGCTCGGTAGCGCTCGGAGCGCATCTGCACATCGTTGTTGTGTTCGCCACGGTGGGATAAATTGAAGCAGACCCGCCTGTTCGACTCAGGCCCGAGCCGTTGGACTTGTTCGAGGTTTTTTTTCTGGTCATCCGTGTTTATGAAACAAATATGTGGTATAATGAACGTACCACACTCCAAAGAAAGGCCCGGTAGCGCTCGGAGCGCATCTGCATATCGTAGTTGGTGGTCAGTGAGATAAATTGAAGCAGGCCGCCTGTTCGACTCAGGCCCGAGCCATAGATCTATGGCCGTTCCTTTTTCGGTCACTCATGATTTTGAAAGAAATATGGGGTATAATCAACACACAAACGGTGTGAGGAAGGCTCGGTAGCGCGTGGTGCGCGGCTGCGATTCATGCTGAAACACGTTAGAGTTTAAGCAGATATTCCCCGTTCGATTCGGGGCTGGGCCATGAGGAATCCGCAATCCCATTTTTTTCCCTTCCTTCCTTTCTTTGTTTGATGTGCAAGTTGGGCAGACTGTGCACGAGCCGACTGGCTTGAGGTTTACATTGACATTTTGGTGGATAGCTCGGGGGAAAGAAGAAAAATCTTGGTTGAAAAATCACATAAAAGTAGCAGGGATATTGCACATACCAAGCCTTGAAGGAAGGCTCGGTAGCGCTGGTGCGCATCTGCAATTTATCATTGCGTACCATTCACAGTTTACGCAGATATCCTCGTTCGATTCGGGGCCGGGCCGTCGGATATCGAGAAGTAAGATTCTTTTTCTGCCTCAGTTCATACGCAGGGCAATATTCGGCGGAACAGGCTGGAAATGTGGCGTTGCAGAGAACGACCAGAATTAGAGCGATTCGGGACGCCTGTCGTGATATATATATACGAGAGGTCAACCACGAATGAAGTTTACTCGCAAATTATATGAGGAAGCGGGTATAAGCGACGTACCACGTACCAGCGAAAGGCTCGGTAGCGCTCGGAGCGCCTCTGCATATCACCATCATTGTCCTAATGCATAATGTGAAGCAGCCACGCCTGTTCGACTCAGGCCCGAGCCGTTGTACCTGTGCAAGGACTTATTTTTTCTGGGCATCCGTGTTTATGAAAAGAATATGTGGTATAATCACCGTTACAAGGGAGTGAAGAAAGGCTCGGTAGCGCGTGGTGCGCATCTGCATATCGTTGTTGAAGTGTTCGCCACCACGGTGGGATAAATTGAAGCAGACCCGCCTGTTCGACTCGGGCCCGAGCCATAGATCTATCGTAGTTCGTTTTTTTCTGGTCACTAGTGATTTTGCAAAGAATTATGGGTATAATGAACGTACCAATACCTGAAGAAAGGCTCGGTGGCGCTCGGAGCGCATCTGAATACCATTTGTGATTTTTCCACGCCTCTACATCAGAATTCGCCTGTTCGACTCAGGCCCGAGCCATTCGCTTGCAGTCCTTTTTTCTGCTCACTCGTGATTTTGAAAAAAAATATGGGGTATAATCAACATACAAACGGTGTGAGGAAGGCTCGGTAGCGCTCGGAGCGCATCTGCGTCTCATTATGATCCACTCAGATCGTATAAATGGAAGCAGACCCGCCTGTTCGACTCAGGCCGGAGCCATCTTTCGGAAAAGTAAATGTTTTTTTCTCTGGTCACTCATGAATTTGAAACAGCACACGCGAAGAAAATATAATCAACATCTCAAGCCCAGAAGAAAGGCTCGGTAGCGCGTGGTGCGCATCTGCATATCGTTGGTGATTGCCGAAGGGATAAATTGAAGCAGACACGCCTGTTCGACTCAGGCCCGAGCCATACGTCCACCGAAGATGTTTTTTTCTCTGGCCACTCGTGAGTGCTCACACAGAGGCAAAGATAGGTAGAATTAACATACAAATGGTGAGAGGGAGGCTCGGTAGCGCGTGGTGCGCGTCTGCCATTCATTAAAAGGAGCTACTGATGCTTAAGCAGAGATCCCCCGTTCGATTCGGGGCTGGGCCATTGATGTTTCTTTAGAAACTTTTTCTGCGAGATGAGATAAGTTGTTTTGGATCAAGGTGAGGATCTTAAAAATGATTACATCCAATCAGCAGGAGACTGATTCAACAGCGCTGAGGATCATACGAGGAGCGTGCACTGAGAATGAGGCCGGAATATCCAGCATCGATGGCCCTGCGGAAAGGCTCGTAATTGCCCAAAGAAGGACCAGGATGAGGAAGCAGCGATGCATGATATCGAAGATATTTTTTTCTCTGGTCACCCGTGAGTCTGAAACAGCACACGCGAAGAAAAAATACAGGGTATGATCAACATCTTAAGACCTGAAGAAAGGCTCGGTAGCGCTCGGAGCGCATCCGCATATCGTTGATCATCACCGATCGGATAAATTGAAGCAGACACGCCTGTTCGACTCAGGCCCGAGCCATAGGTTGCTTGGAATCTTTTTTCTGCTCACTCGTGATTTTGCAAAAAAATATGGGGTATAATCAACATACAAACGGTGTGAGGAAGGCTCGGTAGCGCTCGGAGCGCATCTGCATATCGTTGCTGCTCACCGATGAGATAAAATTGAAGCAGACCCGCCTGTTCGACTCAGGCCCGAGCCATGATATCGGCGAAAATGTTTTTTCTCTAGTCACTTGTGAATTTGAAACAGCACACGCGAAGAAAAAATACGGGGTATAATCAACATACAAAGGTCGGGAGGAAGGCTCGGTAGCGCTCGGAGCGCATCTGCATCTCATCAGTCGCTCCAGATCATCTAAATTGAAGCAGACCCGCCTGTTCGACTCAGGCCCGAGCCGTTGGACTTGTGCAAGGACTTTTTTTTTCTGCTCACTCGTGAGTTTGAAACAGCAGACCCATTGAAGATATGGGTATAATCAACATCCTAAGACCTGAGGAAAGGCTCGGTAGCGCTGGTGCGCATCTGCATATCGTTGTTGATCACCGGTGCGATAAATTGAAGCAGACACACCTGTTCGACTCAGGCCCGAGCCGTAAAACTTGTAGGAAAACGTTCTTTTTCCGGTCACCCCTCAGTTAATATAGCACACGCGAAGAAAAAATACAGGGTATCATCAACGCACGAAGGTAGGGAGGAAAGGCTCGGCAGCGCTCGGAGCGCATCTGCATCTCATCATCCACTCCAAATCGTCCACATTGAAGCAGACCCGCCTGTTTGACTCAGGCCCGAGCCATAACATTGACCTGGAGTAGTTCATTTTTGTCTGGTCACTCATGATTTTGAAAAAGACATGGGGTATAATCAAGGTAACAAAGGTAAGGAGGAAGGCCTCAGTGCCGCTGGTGCGCGTCTGCAATTCATTAAAAAGCGCCCTAGAGTTTAAGCAGATATTCCCCGTTCGATTCGGGGCTGGGCCATGAGGAGTTCGCCATCCCATTTTTTTTTTCTCCTTCCTTTCTTTGTTTGATGTGCAAGTTGGGCAGACTGTGCACGAGCCGCTTGGCCTGAGCTTGACATTGATTTTTTTGTGGATAGCTCTGGCTGAGAACGAAAATCTTGGTTGAAAAATCACATAAAAGTAGCGGGGATATTGCACATACCAAGCCCTGAAGAAAGGCTCGGTAGCGCGTGGTGCGCATCTGCAATTTATCACTCGGGATCCTGCCGTTTACGCAGATATCCTCCTTCGATTCGGGGCCGGGCCGTCGGGTATTGAGAGCTAAGTTTCTTTTTTGGCCTCAGTTTATCAGCAGGGCAATATTCAGTGGAACAGGCTGGAAATGTGCCGTCGCAGGGAAAGACCAGAATTAGAACGATTCGGGACGCCTGTCGTTATATATATATACGAGAGGTCAAGCACGAATCAAGTTTACTCGCAAATTGTATGAGGAAGCGGGTATAACCAACATCTTAAGACCTGAGGAATGGCTCGGTAGCGCTCGGAGCGCATCTGCATATCGTTGATCATCACCGATCGGATAAATTGAAGCAGACACGCCTGTTCGACTCAGGCCCGAGCCATGGGTCTATTGCAATCTTTTTTTTCTGGTCACTCGTGAATCTGAAACAGCACACGCGAAGAAAATCTATGGGGTATAATGAACGTACCAAGACCTGAAGAAAGGCTCGGTAGCGCGTGGTGCGCATCTGAATACCATGCATGTGTGCTCACTCGACTCTACATCTGAATTCACCTGTTCGACTCAGGCCCGAGCCATAGGTCTATCGCAGTTCGGTTTTTTTTGGTCACTCGTGATTTTGCAAAGAATATGGGGTATAATGAACGTAATAAGACCTGAAGAAAGGCTCGGTAGCGCTGGGTGCGCATCTGCATATCGTTATTCGTGTAGACGATCGTCCAAATTGAAGCAGACCCGCCTGTTCGACTCAGGCCCGAGCCATTGGATCTCTTCGAAGACGTTTTTTTTTTCTGGTGGCTCGTGATTTTGCAAAAAAAATATGGGGTATAATCAACGCACGAAGGTAGGGATGAAAGGCTCGGTGGCGCTGGTGCGCATCTGCATATCGTTGCTGCTCACCGATGAGATAAAATTGAAGCAGACACGCCTGTTCGACTCAGGCCCGAGCCGTAGGTCGTGATAAATGGTGCCTTTTTCTCCGGTCACTCGTGCTTATGAAAAAATTATGGGGTATAATCATGGTAGAAAGGAGGGAGGAAGGCCTCAGTGGCGCTGGTGCGCATCTGCAATTCATGGACAGTGCAGTAATGGATTGAAGCAGACACACGCCTGTTCGACTCAGGCCCGAGCCATGGGTGGCTTCCATAAAACTTTTTGATCTGGGCATCCGTGTTTATGAAAAAGTTATGGGGTATAATCAACGTACAAAGGAGGGAGGAAAGGCCTCAGTGGCGCTGGTGCGCGTCTGCAATGTATGATTGGAAAAGAAACTCTGCTGTTTACGCAGATATCCCGTTCGATTCGGGGCTGGGGCATGTATTGAAGGCATACCTTTTTTTTTTTTTTCATTCCTCTCTTTCTTAGATATGAGATACGATTCCAGACTGAAGAATTCAGGTGCGGGGAGGTAGAGAGGATCAGTCAACAGTCGCTGGCGGCGGCATCAAAGTTGAGTTGAACGATGAACGATGAACATTCAATCAACGAAACGACGTCTAATTAATCTGAAACCCAAATCAGGACGGATCAGAGGCAAACTGTTAATGAACGCCAGGACCTGAGTCCAAGTCTGTAGAAGTACCTGAGCCCTGAGTCGAAGTATGTAGAAGTGGACACGGACACGATGTAACAACGTTCCTGGGCGCCGGGAGCTAATTCATCGATGCCGATGCCGGTGCCGTGGATGTAATTTGCCATCGATGGGTTGTCGATGGGAGATGGAGAGAAGAACGCGGGAAGCTCCCGAATTCGAAGAAGGGACTCGGCGCGCACCCGGGGCAGGATGCATGGAATGACGAGTTGGAGGAAGGCAGGCAAGCCCAGGCCAGCCGAGACCCTCAAGTCGAAGGAGGTCGAAGGAGCATGAGCGGAGATATAGCCCAAAGCAGTATAAGAGCAATGACATCTGATCCACAAACTGACATTGCCAAGCGGAGGCACAATCACCATCAGATCTTCATTTGCATTAGTCAGCGTCGTCCTTGTTTTCCTCCCTCCCCACCTCCCGCACCCAGCCGCGATTCCAATTGCGATAGAGCATGATTCGCTTCGACACCCTCCCGCCGGAGGTCATGCAGGCCATGTGCACACCGATGCACCAGATCCTCCCCCCGACGCCCCTCCCCCCGCCGCCTCCGCCAATCCCTACCCGCAGCCCTCCTCTGCCTCGCCGTACGCGCCGTACCACACCCACAATCACCCCTCGTCGTCGTCAGGAGGGCACCCGCAGATGAGCGGCGCGCTCTACCTCGGCTCGCTCAGCGCCGTGAACGACCACCCCCTGCTCAAAGCGCACGGCATCACGCATCTAGTACAGGCATTGGAGGCGCCGTGGGCGCCCCCGGCGCGGAAGGAGGACGGGTTCGTCGCGTACAGCATCGATATCCGGGATAAAGAGAGCGTGGACCTGCGTCCGCATCTTGAGGCGGCGTGTGTGTACATCGAGCGCGCGCTGAGGAGGGGAGAGGGCGTGTTGGTGCATTGTCAGCAGGTGCGTGTCTTCTGTGCTCGTGCTCGTGCTCGTGCGGGTACTTGGTTTTTACTATTCTTACTTACCGTGGTGCGTCATGACAGGGCGTCTCGCGCTCGCCCAGCATCGTCATCGCGTACCTCATCCGCAACCACGCCATGAGCTATGACGCCGCCCTCGCATTCGTCAAGCGCAAACGCGCCTGTGCGAAGCCCAATCCTGGGTTCGCGCGCGCGCTTGTGGAGTGGGAGCAGAGCTGGCGGAGGCCGCAGGCGCAGAGGAGGTTCACTTCTTAGGCGTTGTGTCAAACATTTTGGACTTTCTTTGGATGTTATTCGAAGGTGCGTGCGGCGGGTTTTATGTGGCCGGCTGGAGCTGATGGCGCGCACACACAGATTGTCCGCGATCCCACTGTATCCACTCGTTCGCCCACGTTGCCTTTCCTTGACTTGCACACACCACACGACACACCCCCGCCCTCTCATTCCGATTCGCCCTGTCACTTATCTCGATCTTCCGTCCACGGCTTCTTTGCGCCACACCACCCGCGCGATGTCATCCGCGCCGAAAATTGAAATCCATCCACGCGCTGTCCTCCTTCCATCCATCAATCTCTCCCATCTCCCATCTTCTTCCATCCGCATCATCTCTCGCATCTCCCATCCATCCGTCTCCGCCATCTGCGCCATCTTCGTCCATCCGCGCCGACTCCCCCGCCATTCTTTCGCTCTCATCCGGGTTTTTTGTCTTATTGGGTCTCATCGTGTATCTCTCTCTCTCCCTGTCTCATTGTGCTTGTGCTTGTGCTACTACATATCCGTATCTATAGCTAACCTCCTCCTCCTTCCGTTGCATTGTTGCGTATTTATCCGGACTCTCTCTCCGTCCCTTGTCGTCCTCTTCACGTTCATGATACACACGTATTTCCTTTCACCTTCGTCTTCACCTTCGCACTTCGCTATCGTACATATGGGGCCGTTGTCTTTGTCTTCTCTCTCTCGAGTATTGTATCTATTGGGTTTTTTGTCGTCTTCTCTTGGTCCTGGTTGTTTAAATTGTCCCCAGCCGTCCTCGCCAGCCGCGGCGAGCGGCGCCATCGTCAAAAACTTGGTCGGTTATTTCAACCTCGCCGCCAAGGACCAGGTACTCGAAAGTTGCTGCGATAGCCAGGATGTAGAGGAGGGGATATAATCGGGTGTGGTGTACGGAACACACTCCCTCTTCTTGAAAAGGGGGGCAAATAATTGTGAAGGGAGAGACCCGGGTTCGATTCCCGGTGCCCGAATGAGCGAACTCCAGTTGTTTTTTTTTTTTTTTCTCATCATGAACTTCGATCTATGGTTCGAAAAATTAGTGGGTTATCCAACCTTGCAACTAAGCACTCAACTCGGGCGTGGTGTACGGAACACGCTCCCTCCTGGTCACATCTTGCGATAGTTTCCAGAGGAGAGTTCTGGGTTCGATTCCCGGCGTCTGAGTAATTTTTCATCTTCCCTTTCTGGGGTTTTTTTTTCCACTTCCTCCTGCGAAGTAAATTTTGGTGTAAATTGCGGCTTAACTAGGACACAGGACGACGATCCGAGAGCAACGTAGGAACCGAGCTCGATATTTTTGGATATGAATTTAAATTGATCTTGAGCTTCGAGCTGGGGCATAACAATACATGGGTGGTTGGTCGACCTCAGAATGAGGCTGATCATTCGGGCGTGGTGTACGGAACACGCTCCCTCGTCTTGTTCATTGGAAATGAAATTGAAGGGAGAGGCCCATATAACCGTGGTCTCTGAAGTCTTTTTGGCTTCAAGTCAGAAAAGCTGGTTCAAAAATCTGTGGTATGGGGAGGGTGCAACCTGAGAACTCAACTCGGGTGTGGTGTACGGAACACACCCCCTCCTCTTGCTGGCTGGACAAAAAGATGGAATTGAAGGGAGAGACCCGGGTTCGACTCCCGGTGCCCGAATAAACCATGTATATTGCAAAGTCTTTTTAGTCCTTGATCCCTCCTTCAAGCCAGATATATATTTGGGTTCAAAAACTCTAGACGCAGAACATCCTTCCCTCTGCACACACTTGAAACATCTGGGCAAGCTGTGGATGCACGAGGTGTTCAAAAGTCTGTGGGTTATTAAACCTCAGAATGAGTCTAATGATTCGGGTGTGGTGGATGGTGCACACTCCCTCGTCTTGTTCTTTGAGGATGAAATTAAAGAGAGGACCGGGTTCGACTCCCGGCGCCCGAATACGCCAATGGCACCTCCGGGTACTGTTTTTTTTCTGATCTTGAACTTCGATCTATCGTTCGAAAATTGCTGGGTTATCCGACCTCGCAACTAAGCACTCAACTCGGGCGTGGTGTACGGAACACCCTTCCTTCTCTTGCTGAGTGGCAAAAGATGGGTGAAAGCAAGAGATCTGGGTTCGACTCCCGGTGCCCGAATAGACCATGTATATTGCAAAGTCTTTTTTGGTCCTTGATCCCTCCTTCAAAATTGCATTTTTTTTGGTTCGAAAACTCCGGGTGCAGAACATGCTTCGCTTTGAACATACTTGAAACATCTGGGCAAGCTGAGAATGCACGAGGTGTTTAAAAGTCTGTGGGTTAGTCAACCTCAGAACTAGGTTAATAATTCGGGTGTGGTGTATGGAACACGCTCCCATCTGTTCAGCTAAGTCGAGAGGTTGAAAGGGAGAGTCCCGGGTTCGACTCCCGGGGCCCGAATGGGAAATTCTGGTGAGATTTTTCCAGCTTCAAGCTGGAAAAGCTAATTAAAAAATCTGTGGTATGGGGAGGGTCCAACCCAAACACTCAACTCGGGTGTGGTGTACGGTACACACTTCCTTCTCTTGCTGGGTGTGAAAAAAGATGGAATTGAAAGGGAGAGAACCGGGTTCGACTCCCGGCGCCCGAACTGTCCGCCTTTCCGACTTTTTTTTACTGATCTTGAACTTCGATCTCTGCCTCAAAAATTGGTGGGTTATCCAACCTCGCAACTAAGCACTCAACTGGGGTGTAGTGTACGGAACACGCTCCCTCCTCTTGGGCGGTGAAAACATCGTTAGAATTGAAGGGAGAGACCCGGGTTCGACTCCCGGTGCCCGAACTCCAATGGGTGTTTGCAAAGTCTTTTTGGTCCTTCATCCCTCCTTCAAGCTAGATATATATTTTGGGTTCGAAAACTCTGGGCGCAGAACATGCTTCGCTTTTAACACACTCGAAACATCTCGTGAGGTAGGCGTGAGGGTAAGCTGTGGATGCACGAGGTTCAATGGAAGTGTTCGAAAGTCTGTGGGTTATTCAACCTCAGAATGAGGCTATTAATTCGGGTGTAGTGTGGTGCACGTCTTGTTCGTTGGAGATGAGATTGAGGGGAGAGGACCGAGTTCGACTCCCGGTGCCCGAATAGTCTTTGAAGTCTTTTTGGTTTCAAGCTAGAAAAGCTAGTTCAAAAAGCAGGCCCACAAGTCCCTCCAAAATTTATGTTCCTCTCTTCAAGGACAAGAAACCAAGAGGCCTTGGAGAGTGCGGCCGAAACATTCCTCTCCCCCCAAGAGAAAAGCACAAAGCACTCCAACGTTGCACCGCTGGACCGCTGTCGAAACCGGCCGGAGTATCCAGGTCTGCCCAGAGGGAGATAGTATAGAAAACCTCGAGCTCATCGCATCTGCGGAGTAAAACGGGTCATCAAAACACAGCAAGTTGTTACATTTGACGGAATACAAAACTACATAGTATCGCTATTGCCCATAACAGCATATCCAGTTAGACGCACTTTCCACCATCAACCACCATCTCCGTGCCGTTAATGAAGCTTCCCTCGTCACTAGCCAAGTACAGACACATGTTGGCGACATCGTCTGCTTCCGCCAAACGGCCAAGAGGTACGTTTCCAACGAACTTCTGACGGTTCTCCGGGGTGTCTTCCATACCAGTGAACATAGAGAACAGACCAGTTCCTGAGATCATGGGCGCAACAGAGTTTATGCGGATGTTGTGTGGCCCGTACTCGGCAGCCAAACCCTTGGTGGCCTAAATATAATGTCTTTTAGCATGTGTTCTTCATGGTCAAGTCAATCCACTACTCACGTTTGTGACGGCACCTTTGGACGCATTGTACCACACCAGGCCAGGTCGTGGCCGGGTCACGGCAGTGGAAGAAATATTGATCATCGAGCCACCTTTCCCTTGTTCGATCAGGCGAGGCAAGACAACCTTTCCGGACAGGAAAATGCTCTTGACATTGACCTTGAAAACATGCTCCCATTCATCATCGGTGACCTCGACCGTAGGCTATACAGGCGTGATGCATCAGTAAATTGTAGGTTCTTCGAAACAAAGGATACCCACCTTGATTCGGTAGGACGTTCCTGCATTGTTCACCAACACATCCAGGCCACCGAACTTGGAGAAAGCCAAGTCCACAATGGCCTTCCAATCACTCTCTTGTGTCACATCCATTCGCTGGAAGACTAGGTTGGCCGGGTTTTGCGCAGCAACCTTCCCGCCGCCCTCGACGTTGATGTCCGTCACGATAACCTTGGCACCCTCTTCGCCAAACCGACGGGCAATGGCAGCACCAAAGCCTGAGCCACCTCCTGAAAACAGACAAGAAGATTGCTTAGTCAAGACGTACTATTCGAAAAGGTTATAGGCACTTACCGGTGACGATGGCAACCTTCCTTTGTAGTCTCGACAAGAGTCTCGAGCCTTGAGCCAACATGACTGCAATGTGACACTGGGGGCAAAGACCGTGGGCGTGGTTTCATGGGCATATGATTGACACTTGCTATGATCAGTTGATAGATTACTATTTTAGCCACGCACCCTGATGTGGAACTATTCATGATCCTGCCCGTACTTCAGAGCCTTTCCCTCCGGGAAAAATAAATGATGCGTGTACATACCAGAACTACGGGTTGTCAAAATTTGAACTCGATTGAATTCCTGCAGTGTGCAAAAGAAATGAAAAGGAAGAATTTTACGACATTTTCCCACACGCCAAAACGCCTGCCAAAATTGATTCCACTTTTGGTTCCATCATCGGAAGGTCCATATCTTCCACAACTCAATTATAAAGATTCTGAGAATATTTGAGGGTGTGTAGAAGACATGCATACTCTTGAGTCATGGTACCGAGTGGAATCTGGGGAGAGGACAGAAAGCCATTGCATGCGATCACCGCCGTGGACACATTGGGGCTAAAATAGTAGATATCAAACCTCATTCACTCCGGAAAATCCGAATTTTTGGAGGCCCTGATAACGTTCCCAAACCTAAAGCTTCAGGAACCAGGTAGGTGCTCTCGAAACCGTTCCCGAAACAAAAGGTATCGGCAGCCCAGAAACTCCCCGAAACGGAAGGTTTCGGGAACAGTTTCTGACCACCCGAAACCTTCCGTTTCGGGAACAGTGTTGACTTCGCCGAACCTGCTCCTGAAACCTTTGGTTTCGGGAACGGTTTCTGGAGAACTGAAACAAAAGGTTTTGGCTCTCCAGAAACCGTTCCTGATACTTTTGTTTTCGGGAACTGATTCAGTGTCTCCTAAACAATAAGTATCGACAACGGTTTTAGTGCGCCGGAACCTGTTCCCGAAACCTCACGGGTGCGCCAGCAGCGGGAACTTGCTATTGACATCGAAAAATTATTAATCTAAAACCGATCCTATTTGTGGTAAATTATCCGGCTGTTCCGAAATTGATATCTTTTATCTGACGCTCATGATATCGAGAAAGTTACAGAAGTCGAATGCTCAGATATGTTGAGCGGTACCACCACTGAGAAGCTAATATTTTGTGCTGTCGCTACTCATAAGCCATTTATTGTATGCACGGAACCGATATCATGTTCACGATTTGATGTTGGCGTTTCACTCATAACAAGTAAATCTGAAGATGAAGGTAAAGATATTAGAGCAAAGTACGGGTGATGTAGGCACCAATTACAGCCAATGTTGGAACCGAAGGCGCGGTCAAAAAATTCCCAATTTGGGATGTTTCCGAAGAATTCCCCATAACTCAGTCAGTTCTTAACAGATTGACATGAAACCTGGCTAGTTTTGCTATGCCGAATTAGTGATAGAAAGAAACTTATGAAAATATCTCATATCGGATGATCTGTGATTTTGGGCTATTTTGGGGTTGAATGTGGGCTAGAGGGATCAGGACATGTTCAAATGGTCTAGTCTTTTGATACAAATAGGCTGAATAGATTTAGAAAGATGTCATAGAGCCAGAATTTTAATTACGGCACTTTGCGGCTTCAAGTTACCCAATATTGACCAAATGCTCTCAATAGCCAACGGGCCGAAAGTAATTATAAGCCATCAAGTGCCATGATCAAAATTCTGACTCTATGACATCTTTCTAAATCTATTCATGGTATCTGTCTCAAAAAACTAGACCATTTGAACATGTCCTGATCCCTCTAGCCCACATTCAACCCCAAAATAGCCCAACATCACAGATCATCCGATATGAGATATTTTCATAAGTTTCTTTCTATCACTAATTTGGCATGAATTAGCCTAGTAAAACTAACTAGGTTTCATGTCAATCTGTTAAGAACTGACTGAGTTATGGGGAATTCTTCGGAAACATCCCAAATTGGGAATTTTTTGACCGCGCCTTCGGTTCCGACATTGGCTGTAAATCAATTGTTAGGAGTTGCGATTGCCTAACATAGAGGCTGAATGGAGAAAGGTGATTTGAGCGCAAACCAGTGAAATTGAAGTTGAAGTTGGAATCAACGAGGTCTTGCGGAGTGAACCGAAGGCAGCATCTTTGGTTTTCAAATCTTGCGGTTGAGGGATCATTGGGCTGCAGCCGCTGCCTCGGCCGTAGCATAGCACGGGCTAACTGCTAGTATTAAACATACGGGAGTCTTGGGCTTGCGCGTAGGTCAGAACTCAACCCAGAAATTGCCACCAGAGTGACGGTGCTTGGAGACGATGGTGGCGAAAGACAGAGTGTGCCAATCATTCGGATGCCCGCATCACAACCATTTGGTCCGCTTGATCCGTCGTTCTTAACTGACATTCTTACTTACCTTCTTCGTCCATCATGTTGCGCACTCACATTCACTGCGTTTAAGCCCAATCTAAACTGCCTCTGTCGAGGTCTGTCGATTCAACCTAGACAGACCTCAACTGAGCCTGGTCTATTTCACCTGCTTTGAGGTCAGTTGAGCCCGGATAGATGAGATCGACAGGCCTGGTTGAGGGTCTGTTGAGGTAAGCTTGCTTACGTCTGTCCAGGTTTGTCCAGGTTAGCTTTGCAGGGCTATGCTCACATCAGCCTGTCTCGCGGCATTCATGAGAAATTTTCGCCTAATCCTCGACCACTAGCTTTTCCCATGTCTTCTCAGACTTCTGCCGCGCCGCCGAGCCGTCCCGTGCGTACTTGGTGCTTCACGGCATACCCTCCCTGAATTCATTTGAATACCCAGGCAAAGCGGCCTCGTCACGGTCAAGACATGGTGGAATGTAGATGTACTCAGTGTGGCCCTGGCTCCGAGAAGATTTTGCCGGCAACTGAGAAGCTGCATCTGCAGCGTGACCAGGAGGTAAAACTCAAGCAGAATCTCCCACAAGGCCAAGCTGTCTCTGCGGGCGCTTATATGGCTGCCCGCCGCCAGAGGCGTCAGACGGCGAATTCTAGCATCACCCAGGCTGGTCCATCTACAGCTCCTGACGCCTATACCATCGACGCAGATCATCTAACTATCCCCGGGAATATTTATAATTTCTTGGGGCAAGGCACGACTCAGAATCTTGCGACGCCGACAAATGAAGATATTGACATGGAGCTCGAGCCGAGTGAGCCACAGCTTTTGCCAGACTGTTCAACAGATGTTCCCATGCCCGACAAACCTATTCCCACAGCCGTTTCGCAGCGCGATGCTCTTCCTGCGCCTTCTGCTGCCATTGATCCCGCTGTCAGTTCTGACTCTCTCCGATCCGAAATTCCACCGCCGCCGCTCGCACCTCGCGATGGTCTTGCAGAAGAATCCCCATATTGGTTCTGGCAAATCATTCTGCTCACCACAGCGTGGTTGCATCTCCATTTTCATACCCCTTACCGAGCTTGCGATCTCCTTTTGAAAGTG